CCCCTCCACCTTGAAGTAGTCGCCGCTGTCGTTCCTGATGCCCGCCGCCTCCAGCAGCTCGTTGGACCAGTCCGTGCAGAAAAAGTCCAGGTCGCCCTCGCCGCAGGGGACCAGGGCGTAGTCCTGTAGCGACGCGCCCGTGCCCTCCAGCGCGCCCCACACCTGCGCCACGGCGCGCCGCAGGGTCGCGTGCGCGGGCGGACGGTTTGGATTAGCAGCCGGCAAGCTGGAGCAGCAAGCGTGAGCAGGCGGAGGGGCGGGCGGCCCGGCTCTCGGCGCGACGGGCAGCGCGTTACACTAGTATGTTGGTGTCTGGCCGGCCGTCAGCAAGCTGGGCCGTCGGCGCAAGCGTCGGTGCGCCGCGGGTCGGCGGGCGCACGCACTCGCACGCGCGCGCAGGGGTGCGCGCGCGCGCTCTCCTCCCACCTCCTCTGCTGCCCGAAGCTTCCCGAGGACCCACTCCACTGCAGCGGCCGCGCCCAGCCAGCTGCAGAGGGGCGTGGGAAAGGGACGTTCGGGGCAGTCGAGGCGGGGACAAGCCCCAGGCGAGCCCAGCCCCAGGGCGGGGCGCGCGTGGCGAGGGAACGGGCGGCAGCATGGAGCACAATGGTCGGCTCAGCAGGCGCTTCAGCGCCCGTTTGGCGGTGCCCCTCACAGCGCCACCGCAGTGCTGCTGGCGCAGCGCCCTGCTCCTGCCCCTGGGGAGTGCACGCACACTTTTTGTCCTGAGGGACCCTGCAAAGTCAAAAAACACGCCCACATGTCATCCGTGAGTCCCTCGGCTGCCGCCCGCCCGCCCCCCGTCCGCCCGCACCTGCTGCCAGGCTGGCGGGCGCGCTCCACCGCCTCCAGAAACCCAAGCAGCTCCGCAGGCCGCGGCTGGGGCACAGAGCCGGTGGCCGGGCCGCCCGCGCCGGCGGCTGCGCCCGCCCCAGCAGCCGCGGCACGGCCCGAGGCTGCGGCGGCCTGCGACAGCACGTGCGGCGCTGCGGGGGCGGCGCGGCAGAAGGGTTTGCCGTGAGCAGCGGCAGCACACGCAGTGTGTGCAGGTGGAGGAGTATGATTTTGTGTGCGTGGGTACGGGGGGGGGGGGGGCGACGACGCACCATCGCAAAGCCGCGCGTCCCAAGCCGCCCCCAACGCTCGCCACCCCGAAGCCACGCCTCACCCGCTCGCGCCGCCGCCGCCTTTGGCCTCGCCGCCGCCCTGGGCTTCGCGGCGACGCCGGCCGCCCTCAGCCAGGCCGCCACCTGCCTCTCGCTGGCGGGGACAGGCAAGCGCTCCGACACGAGCTCCAGGCAGCGGGGGTCATCCTGCGAATGAAAAAAAAATCCACAGGGCGGGTGGCGGCGGTCGAACGGACACTTTCGAGAGAACCCCGGGGTCGGGCCCTCGCAGCAGTGGGCGTTGTCCGCTCAGGGGCGTCGGCGCGCCGGCGGCGGCGGTTGCGAGGCGGAGGTTTGGGCAAGAGGTGCCCCATTCTGGCGCTGGTTGCGTGTGGCGGGCCCATCACTGAAGGCAAAGGGGCGGCGCAGCTCTCGGCAGCAGGCGCTTGGAGCCGCGGAGCCTTTCGAGGCTGCTCGCGTGCACGGCAGCGGCAGTCGAACAGGCCCCCGTTCGATTTCAAATTCAAACCTTGAAGCGCTCGTAGAGCTCCCGCAGCTGCTCCTCATCCACGGGTACCCGCTTGCCGCCGCCGCCGCCCCTCCGCTTCTTATTCCGCCCCCGGTTCCCCCGGCCTCCGCCCTCTGAGCCGCTCCCGCTCCCGCTCCCGCCGCCGCCCTCGCTGCCGCTGCCGCTGCCGCTGGCGCTGGCGCCGCCGTCCTCGTCGCTGCCCGCGTCGCTGCCGCTGCCGCCGCTGCTGTCCTCATCGGCGCCGATGCCGTGCTTTTGCAGCAGCTTGCGCACCTGCGGCGCAACGCAAGGTCGCAGTGCAAGATGTTGCCTTCCAGCCCGCACCAATCCATGCCTGCACGTACCTGCAGCTCGCCCGCTGCCACGGCCACGGCACCCGCATTTGGCTTCCCTGCCCACAGTCTCGCGGCCAAGACCCCACTCGCTCTCACGCCCGTCCCCCTACATCCGCAAATCCTCCACCACCCAACACAAGGATGTGACTGCAGCACCCCACAGCCCGCCTTCCATGGCCGCCGGCGCCTCCGCCAGGACGATGCACGCGCGAGCCCGGCGACATAAACAGCATTGTAAGTAGCAAAAGCGCCGCGCCTGCCCACCTGCAGCACGCCGCAGCCTAGCTCCATGGCCACCATGTTGAGGGCGTCCCCCTGGCCCCTGTGGCTCTCCCAAAGGTCCCGCAGCAGCGACTTGGGCACGTTGGGCGCGCCGTCGCCGCCGCGCCTGAGTGACAGAGCCGGCGGTTGCGGCGTGAGGGCAGCGGGCGACGGGGCCGCGGGCGGTGTCGGGGG